ATGAGCTTTCTGTTCGTTTTAATGAACTGTGAATGAACTAGATTATGAGGCTGAATACCGTGGGCAAAAGTATCGTGGAATAATGGATGAGAACAATGACGAATGTAATTTATGAAAACTTTCCCGCAGCAAAACTGGGCGTGCCGTTAGCTCAGTAGGTATCATGTTGGACTACGGAGTGTATGGCCCTGGTTCTTTTTGTTTTTATTTTTAGAAACTGTTTTGCGGCGCTCGCAACTGCATAAGGTCGTATGAGTGCGCGGGACACTTTCAGTTGGTAGGAAATTTTGAATGTTGCCCGGGGGGCGGCTGAAGCCTACTCTTACCGATTTTAAACCACCAAGGATCTTTTACGTGCGCAACTTGCACACGAGACCTCCAAGACTTTTAGAGAAGAAATGTTTTCCGTCGCTACCTGGATTCGAACCCGGGATCTTTGAATGAAAGGCTGAGACCTTTCCTCTTGGCCACGAGAGCCCCCGGCCTTATGGTTCGAATCCTACACTGGGCGTTCTGAACTTGGTTTGTTTTGGGGGGGTTTAGGAACGGACGTTAAACTCGGAAACCACGCCTCTTGAATAAGGGTGTAAAATTAGTAAAATTTTATATTTTCAGCAGGGATATCACGTAGAGACAGATGGGCTGTTCAAAGCGGTTCTTTTGATAAACAAGATATTTAGGTGGAAAGTTGACAATAAATCATGGCGTTTAAATTCCTTAATTTTTGTTTGTTGGTTTTAAAGTTAAATCAATCGGCGTTTGCAGTGTATCGGGTAGGCGCTTCGCTGTGGCTCCTAGGAAACTTGAGTTCGAATCCCGAATAGGGAGACATTTGTGAGACGTGCTGACAAAATGAGTTGCTTCTTGCACTCCGCAAATGGAGATATTGGCCAAAAATCGACACTAGGGTTACATTTGTAGACTTTCTATTGATGCCATATTCTTTAACTATAACATGCATTTTATTATTTCGCAAGTCTTATAAATTGTAAATTTTTTTACCTATATGCATGATGTATCTGTTTCCATAGGGCTCAAATCCGAGACATAATTCATTTTGTCAGCACGTTTCACTTTTTAAATCAAGTATCTCGGTCTTTCTGGTGGTACCTCTCTCAGCCAGAGTTTGTCGTGACAGGCAGGGTCAGAATATTGCTTCCTAAAGGATCAAAAATGATGTCGATGGGGCCCTAAAAATATCTACATTTAAACAAAAAAGTTAAATCTCAGCTCTATTTCATTTCACCGCCCAATATCGCAGGATTGTTGGGGGGGGGGGGGTTGGGGGGTGCACTCATGGTACATCCTGTTTCTTCACTTTCCCTCTATGGTTTTTGTCTTTTTGCCTTTCGCCCAGTCTGCACGCAAAGGTACGGATTTTCCTGATAAATCCAGAATAAATGTGGATATCTGACACTGTCTGGATTTTGTCTAGGGTCTTGGTACAAAAATGTAATAGATATTTCCACGAGTACGAAAAGTTTATGGGTTTTCTCTCTTGTTTTTTTAGTTTGTTTTGTTTTGGTGTTTTGTTTTTGTTTTTGTTTTTGTAATCAGTGGGCACCTCTGATGATACTGGGCTCGGCGATCTCATCAAAGGCGGTACTGTTCTGTCTCTGAGCTACAGGACAGACATGAGATTGTCCAAGTGTTCTTTATGAAGTAGACAATAAGAAAAGAAATACATGTGGAGGAGGGCGGGCGGGGGGAAGAGAAATGGGGTCACTCCATGGCAAATGAGTCTGCAGCGATACACGTAGCGCTCACATAATTTTTTAGATGAGCAGGTTTCCTGGGTCAGGAGGATTGGGTGTTGTGTGTGTGTATGTGTGTGTGTGTGTGTGTGTGTGTGTGTGTGTGTGTGTGTGTGTGTGTGTGTGTGTGTGTGTGTTCTTTAATAGAGTAAATCCGCCTTTCTATTGAGATGATGTAACCCATGCATCCAGGATTGTCCTGCTGAAAAAAATATGATTACTGATAGAGCCATTCTTTTAAATTATTATTATTATTAGTAGTAGTAGTAGTAGTAGTAGTAGTAGTAGTAGTAGTAGTAGTAGTAGTAGTAGTAGTAGTAGTAGTAGTAGTAGTAGTAGTAGTAGTAGTAGTAGTAGTACTAGTAGAAGTAGTAGTAGAAGTAGTAGTACTAGTAGAAGTAGTAGTAATAGTAGTAGTAGTAAAAGAAAGAAAAAAAGAAGAAGAAGAGAATAAAATAAAATAAAGTAGAATATTAAAATAACGGTAGTGTCACTGTTAAGGATATTTCCAGCTAGTCACAAACCTTGTGTTGCGTGTGTGACTGTCGTGGAATGACTCAATATCGTCTCAAGTGTGTGATATTCCTTGCTGTGCAACCGCGCGATTTATACACAGCTCTATATTGTACTGTATTGTAGTCTTCCCCGTCAGCCTTTATATTACAACATTTCCACACGGTTGGTTTCACTCGGCACGCAACAATCGACGTTTGTTTTGTAATAGTTTGACTCTTCGGTGTTGCGTGCAGTTGACTTGAGTTCGAATTTTGTTTTGTTTTAGCAGAGGTTTTACGGCTTTGGCAATTGCATAAGGTCATATGAGCGCCATTCGAATCTTGAATGGGGGAGTTATAATATGCTCGGGTATCTTTGTCTGTCTGCTGGGATACAGTATCCCATTCAGCTGTCGTTGGCTGCGATATGGAGCGTGCAGCCCGT